GTGCCCGAGGCCGTCTCGCCGGGTGTTGCCCTTGTTTTATTGCTGTGAAGATCCGTAACGCTGCCCGCTTCGGCTCGGCAGACTTGATATTTTGTTCTAATTATTCTGGTCGCGTGCCTGTCTCTCGTCTCCCTCCCCGAAAATAAGCTTGTTATTCTGCAGGTTGGCTCCTCGCTAAGTCCATTTTCTTTCTCCCTCTTGCCTTCAACCTGCAGACCCGACTAACCCCGTGCTAGTAGGAAATACGTGTTTCGAGTGCGGGGGGTTTCTGTTTGTTTTAGGTGAAGTATTGGCTGGGCAGTGAAGAGCAAGGGGATTACTGACGGGAACGAAGGGAGCTGGTTTGAGCTGGCAGCTCCTTTCTGGCCAGCATAACCAGCTCTGTTTGTGTTGCCCCTCAGCTGGTCTAATGAGGTAGGTGGTAACGAAGGAAGAGGTTCAGGATGTGGGATAGGAACCTGTAGGAAACCAAGACTTTTTAACTTCAAAAATCATGGAACAACTTGCTTTCTAAAAAGTGAGTTTTCCCGGAAGTGGATTTTGACCCTGTCGGATGTTTTTATGCACGATGTTTACTAAGAGGGCTGTGTTGCTCGTTCTGTCGCCATGCTTGAGCGTTGCTCTCTATTTCTGAAGCTGAGGTGTCTCTGGAGCCCCGGTCCTATGCCTGCCATCATCTGACGGTGTTGTGTAACTGTAAACAGTGCAACCGCCGCTTATAATGCCAAATAGTTTTGGGTAGATATCATAAATCAATTGTGGGCACTTGCTACTCCTATTAAAACAAAAATATCTTCTTTTAGGAATAATAGGAAGTTATTCTTACTCTGAAGCTGTGGCATTAGCTGGTGGAAGTGCCTCGCATTTAAGCGTATACCCTTCTAAGCCTTTCATGTTAAAGTGAGTTTAAGAATAATTTGAAGTGGAAGGATACATGCAGCGTGGTTCTATAGGAGAAATACGCTTGTTTGTATTTCAAACAATTTAGCTATTACTCTGCAATACTTTCTGTCTATTTGGTAAGGGTAGCAGTAAGGTCTGCCTGCCTGACCCATAACATGCCAGCTAGCCATAAATATGAAACTATCTTGCAGCTCTTTCCTCCTGTTTATTGCCACATATGCATTTAGCTGGCTTGGCTCCTGAGGGGAGAAAAGAAGTCCCTAAGCTTGTCCTGCACAGGAACTGACCAAGTTAATGTTGATACGATAATTCAGACGACTAGTTCCTTCAACAGCAAGAAGTGCGTTAAATATAAGAGTACTTGACCTCAAACTTTAGCAGAGAGGCACTACTGTAATGTCTAGTTCATACGGGATTAGTCGAGTCATCTCTGTTTTATACTTGGTTAAAGAGTAATTCATACTGGAAAAGTGTACCGTGTAAACAAGAAGTCTGTTGTAACTGATTCTCTGTAAATATACGTTTCATGAATAACATCATTCAGTGTCCCCTGTGTAATATTTTACTTATGAGTAATTTGACACAAGCAGTTGGTTCACTGCTTCGTTTCTAGAATCTGTAACTTTCCAGTGAACCAGGGAGCTCCTTGGGAGCGCTTAATGAAAGTATTGTTACTTTTTTAAAATAAAAAAATTAAAAAATAGTTTGGCATGCCAAAATACAAGGCATGCATGGTTCCACTGTTTAAGTTATGGTGTGTACCGAAAGCATAAAATGTGCTTTTCATTTTTAAGGCACCTCCTGATTTGAATCTGGAAGTGACACGTTGTAAGTGTGAATAGTTAGCTCTTTGCTATTTTTGGGGGATTAAAACACTATTGGCTGTTTAATCCCTCTGCATCTTTTTTTTTTTTTTTTTAACATTCCTTTGGATAGAGAAGAGGGTGATGGGCCCTGCATGTGGTTTTAAAGCTCACCTTGCTTTTTATGTAGTTCTGCAAAGCCATCCTAGCATTGGAGAGGTGATGAACTTGCCTAAGGGTGCACTGTTACATAGCGCTGTTGCTGACTTTCTTCATTGTAATAATTTGCTACTGGCCAAAGGCTTTCCTACAGGAGCATATGGAGTCAGGTTCTCCTTCAGCTTGGTTTTTTAAGCTGTGGTTCAGTAGTTTTGTTCAAGTTAACAGAAGGTTGGAAATCTTTTTCTGTGTCTACAAATTCAATAAAAACAAGTGCCTGGGAAGAGGTACTAGGACCTTGTGTCCTGGCTGAAGGAGACATTGCAGCGTGTTCTCATTTTTTTGCTGGCAAAATACGCAATGGTGGGAGATTAAAAACTTGTAACTGCAGGAAAAGCTTTACTGAGAGCTTCTTCCTCTGTAGACCTCAGCGAATTCTGTGGGAGAAAGAGTTTGATGATGGAGAAAATACGAATTGCATATGATTCTACGAGACATAACAAATCCACTGAGGGAGAGAGGACGTGTCTCTGAAGTTCTAAGTCTGGAAAATACCCATGCTAAATTTTTCAGGGACACTTTGGTGCACTAATGTAGAAAGCACGTGCTTCCAAGCTTTAATTCCTGTCCCGCTCAAAACTTCTCTTTTGAAGTTGCTGAAGTACAGGAGTGTGTATTTCTGCATATGAATTCTAAACAGTTTGCAGTGTGAAATATGCCCTGTTCATCATGTGATTGCTTGTCTGTAAAGGCCTTGCAGTAATTTTCATTTATAGCTGAAGTATTACAAAAGAAATTAGTGCCTTATGCTAATGATTGGCTTTTTCTCATCCTTTTCTCAGATTCTGTGGGAGTGGAGATGCTTCCAGAAAATATTTCTTCTAAAAGTGAGAATGAAACACTAAACACATCCCCAAATTT